ATCTCGGGCTGCCCCATGCCCCAGCTCGATCCCCGCGTCCTGGAGGTCTACAGGGGCGTCAGAGAGGTGAGGCCAAAGCAGCTCTGCCCCAGGCCCAGCGAACGCCACGCTGAGCCCCACAGCCCCTGTGCCCGCTCTCCCCTTCCTCCCTCCGCACAGGCGCTTCTGTGGATTAACCGTATCGGTCGCTGAAGGGCCCAGAGAGGGTCTGAGCGACGATCTCCTGAGCGCTGTGCTCGCGATGAGCCTGGGACCGTCCTTTCTGAGGACCTGGGATGGTCCTTTCTCACCAGAGATGCTAAGGGAGGGGACGACTTTCTCACGGTCACAAGACAAGTCCCGCAGCGCTGCCGTCAGTGCGCACGTGTCAGGGCCTGGCCTGTATCCGTGTCTTTTAAGGTGCTGTCCAAATACAGGAGCGGGAAACTCCCCAAGGCATTTAAAATCATTCCTGCCTTGTCCAACTGGGAGCAGATCCTCTACATCACAGAGCCGGAGACATGGACAGCAGCAGCCATGTACCAAGCCACCAGGTGAGATCATCTCTGGGAGCTGCTGACGTGGGATTTCTTGCTTTTTCTTTCTATAACTGGAAGCAGATTTACAAAATACCAACCTGTGCCCCGCTTGGCCTCCTTTCTCCACACCTCACTTTGTGCTTTGCTTTCCCAGGATATTTTCATCTAACCTGAAAGAGAGGATGGCCCAGCGGTTCTACAACCTGGTGCTGCTGCCACGGGTCAGGGATGACATCAGCGAGTATAAGCGCCTCAATTTTCACCTCTACATGGCTTTGAAGAAGGCTCTGTTCAAGCCAGCAGCCTGGTTCAAAGGTAGGGCCTCCCTGCAGGGCTGCCGTTCCTACCTGGCACCCTCTCGCCATCTGGGAAGCTCTGCAGGGGCACGTGTTGCACGCCGCTGCCCAGTGTGACAGCACACTGTCCCGTGTGGCGCGGCCCTGGGGGCTCAGGGAGGAGGGAGAGATGCAAAAGAGACGCAGGGAGTCCCCTCGCTGGACGAGGCGGCTTCCAGAGCCCCAGGGCCCGTTTGTAGCGTTCAGGGCGGAAGGGCGATGAGCTCCGTAGGCTTTGGCAGGTGCTGCCAGCGAGTGCTGGCAGGTATTTGGGTTCTTTTGGAGACTGATGGCAGGTTACGAACTGTCTCGGGTCTGATCTCAGTTTCGTCTGGCAACCTGAGGGTGTTTGGGGCTACTTGCGTGGCAGGGAGGTGCTGTGACCCCTGTAACAGCTGCTGGGGGAGCTGTTATTTCCTGGGGTCAGATGTGTCCTGGGATAGGAGAAGGGGCTGAGCCCCGCGTCCCGCAGCTCTGCCTGCCGCGGTTGAGACTCTTCCCCCTCCACAGGGATCCTCATCCCCCTGTGCGAGTCAGGGACCTGCACGCTGCGGGAGGCCATCATCATCGGCAGCATCCTCACCAAGTGCTCCATCCCTGTGCTCCACTCCAGGTAAGGCGCTGGGAGGCCGTGGGGTGGAGAGGTTCTCCCTTAGGGACACCAGTGCAACGCCTCGGCTCTGTCCCTCGGCACCTCGGACCTGGGGGGGCTGAGAGATTCAAGACTCAGCGCCGGGTTTGTCATCCTTGTACCTGGTACCCCATGGCTCCTGCCTGTCCTGCCCTCACCTCGGTGCTCCCTCCATCCTGCAGCGCGGCCATGCTGAAGATCGCTGAGATGCAGTACAGCGGCGCCAACAGCATTTTCCTACGGCTGCTCATCGACAAGAAGTACGCCCTGCCCTTCCGCGTGGTGGATGCCCTCGTCTTCCACTTCCTGGCCTTCCGCACGGACCAGCGGGTGCTGCCCGTGCTGTGGCACCAGAGCTTCCTGGCCTTTGCCCAGCGCTACAAGGAGGACCTCTCCTCGGAGCAGAAGGAGGCTTTGCTCGAGCTACTCAAGTTCCACAGCCATCCGCAGATCTCGCAGGAGATCCGGAGAGAGCTGGTGAACTCCAAGACGCGGGATGTGGAGGGGCAGCAGCCCGTGGCCATGGAGTGAGCAGGGAAAAGCTGCTGGATGCAGTTGGGAGCCCGGTGCGTGAGCGAAGCTGTGGGGAGGCGTGCGGGGAATCCAGCCCGGGGTCCTGCTGCTGCAGCGGGTGCTGGGGACAGGCTGTGCCCGTAGAGCTGGGCCGTGCTCCCTGCGCTGCTTGTCACGGGGCAGGGCAGCCCCTGTCCCACCCGGGAGGCTTTGGCCTATTCCTGTACTGGAAAATAA